GTTGTTTTGAGAATGCTCAGTTAGGTCTTCCATGCGCTCATCCACCCCATCCTTACAATGTGTGTCCTTYCTGTCGTCAAGGACAGCCTCATTCTTGAGCTTTTCCCTGTGTTTAACACCTTCCCCTTCACTCTGTCTCTCTCACAGCGTGCAAGTGGGTTGTTATGGCATACGGGGATGGGGGCAGCTCGCGCTCAACTTCATCAACGTGGCGAGCCTTGCACGTGAGAGGCACAGTGGAGGTGGAGTTCAAAGAAGAATGAGAAATTTAATGGTTTCAATCTGCCCTTGTTTTTTCTTTTTGTTTTTCTTTTTATTTTTATTTTTGCATGTTATCACTGTGCCCGTTTTTTGCTTTTATTCTTTGTTCCGCAAAGTGCGCTCTTTTAGTGTGTAGTGATGTGACAATATATATATATATATATATAGAGAGAGAGAGAGAGACCATTGCCCTCCTCCATTCCTCGCCCCTTACCCATCGCTCGTCATCCATCCTCATTGTCGCCCTTTCTCCATTGCCACCACCTCTGGTTGGCTGTGTTAGTGTCGTGATGCCCATGATGCACAGGTGCTGCTGATGTCTGTTATGCATATGGTGTCATGATCTGTATTACGTTCATGGTATCGTGATGTCGATCATGCTCATGATATCATGATGTCTATCATACTTATGGTATCATGATGCCTATTCAGCTTGTGGTATTGTGATGTCTATTATGCTCGTGGTATTGCGATGCCTATGCTGATGGTAATGTCTATTGCGCTCATGTTATTTATAGGAGAAACAAGGGATACCGTTGAGTGTTTGTGGATGGATCTGTCTTGCAGTCAGAAAACTGATGAGATGAGTTCTAAGGCATATGGGGTGAATGTCTTTCGAGCAGGTTAGAATTGGGTTTGTTTTCTTGGTATAGTGTGGAGCGCACAAAATGACATAACAGGATTTTGAAACTGGTTGTTGTAGGACAGCCTGTAGCGATGAATCACAATATCGGAACTGGCTGCCGATGATATTAACGTCAGGTGGTATTGGTACTCTGTCTGTCTTTTTGTTTGTGGCATCTTTTTCAAGAAATGTGAATAACCTGAAAACGCATCCTGCGCTTTCCGGGAATATGCAGATCCATGATGTTGAAGATCTCGCTGGCATGGGTCGTGAAGTGAGAGGTGGGTTGGTGTAGCACCGTTTACCCATTTTTCTATCCTCTATCTTCTACCCCTTCCTTCTTCCCTCCCAATGTGTACTACTATTGAATGCATGCAAATGAGCATCATTAAACCACCAGTACTTGGCCCAGCTATCAGCCGTGGAAATAAATAGAGTAGTAACGTTTCTAGTCGGATGAATTTGGGCGCTCCTGTAGTGGCCCATACGTTTCCTAAGATCGTGGCTTGTTAACGGGCACGACTTTAGGAAGGACTGGTGGTTTAAGAGAACAGACAAAATATAAGCTGAACATTTGAAGAAATATGAACAGGAGTATACCACCTGCTGTACTCTGCCTCCTTTCATAAGTTGCAAGTGTGCCTCTAAGGCCCATGGGGATTTGGCCAGCTGGCGCTAAACCACAGTGAACGTGGCCAGGCTTGTATGTTTAAGGCACGGTAAAGCGGGAGCTACAAGAACAAACAAAAGGGGTACCCCAAAGAAAGCCGAAGTAAAGATAAGAAAGCTATACAATGGATCTATTGTGCCCCATGTTGCTTGCTATAGAGGTAAAACTGTTTCATTGTTGGATTGGCTCATCTCAAGGGTGCTTCATTGTCTGCAATAGAGGTAAAGCTGCTTTGATTGTGGATATACTCATCTGGGTGGAACAGGGGCTGCTGCGGTGAAAATCTAAAACACACACCCAAGGGTTTGGACCAACAGTCTACCAGGATTGCAGGGTTTGTGTGAGTGAAGTCGACCACTTTTATCAGGAGTATCACTTTGGACGATGTGGTGAGTCCTTATCCATCACTCCAATGCATCCTGGGCACACTATTGCATTTCAACCTCCGGATGAGTAAGTGAAAGTCCTATGAAACAGTGTGGCACAGTCATGCTTGTTTTGTGGAGTTTTGCATAGCAAACATGTCAACCATATTTGCGGCGCACAGCACCGGTGCGCGCTGCGCTGCGCGTGCTCGTGTGCGCTGCACTATGTGCCGGGCAAAGCGCACATGGGCAGACATGCGCCCATGCGCTGCTCGCACACATGCGGGTTGGGTTGGGCCAGGTGCGCTGGATG